GCACCCTAACCCTGCCAGGTCAGTAAGGCTCTGGGAGTTCTGCTTCTTTTCAAACCACTTTCCCCCCTGGTCTTCCTTGTCTCAGCTTCCCTCTCCACTCACTTGCAGTCCTAGGCATAACTTAAAACCCCAGAAACTGCTCTAAGATTTTGCTATACAACACAGCTCTGCTAGGTCTTCCCACTGCTAGCTTGTGATTTTGGTGGGCCTGTTAAACATATTACTGATCTTTTTTCCCCAGCTTTCCAGCTTGCAGAAATGTAGTCATGATCTCCTATCCTTTAGCCTAGCTTTTGGGGAATTAGGTTCTAAAACATAACTTCCACTTTTATGGTGCTTAAGAGGGAGGAATGACAATACACAAATACAATTCACACTAAAGGACAATGCATATGTGCAATTCACTACTAAAAGACAATGCACAAGTACAATTCACATTAAAGGACAATGCACATGTACAATTCACTACTAAACTAAAGGACAATGCACAAGTACAATTCACTACTAAAGGACAATGCACACGTACAGTTCACACTAAAGCACAATGCACACGTGCAATTCATCACTTTAGTACAGAAATTCAAATACTAAACTTTGGTAAGATCTTGTTCTGCTATGGCACGTTCTTTTTACTTATCAGTCTTCAGCAGAATTAATCCCGTTCTTCCAAGATTTTTAATGAAATATAAAACATATCTGATCCTGTTTTATTTATGCATGCCTCTTACCCACCAAAATAAGAATGGCAAAACATAAGGGTATGGTTTTATTACAATTCTCAACAATAGCATCTATCACAATATACAATAAAAACAAAAAAAAGTAGATTTGCTAATGTAGGAATATAAATTGACAAACCTTTTAAAAATTTGAACAATTTCATATACCTTTTCCACTGGCTAAACCTACTTGCTTATACATACACACACAGACACAGACAGACACACACACACACACACATATTGGTGTGGGGTATGGAAGACTGAAACCAGGGCTTCATGAATTCTAGGCAAATGTTCTATGACTGTGTTCATATCAGTTTTCAATTGCTATCTCCTCAAACTTAAACTGAAAATCTGTTAGTACTTTCAATGAGGAAAACTGAGTATTAAACATAAAGTGCAGGAAGTTTGGGGTTGACTGCCCTCTGCTGGAACTTCAAAAAACTACTAACTTCCTTAATAGCAAAACCTGATACTGGTGGTGTTAAACTTCAATACAATATACATTTCCTTCTTTCCTTTTCTTTCTTTTTTCCTTCTTTCCTTCTTTCCTTTTTTTTTTTTTAAGACAGGGTCTCACTATGTATCTCTGGCTGGTCTGGAATTTGATATGTAGACAAAGCCTGTCTACCCCACACATGCTGAGATTTAAAGATATTAGCCGCTGTGCCCAACCTCTATTTTCTTCATTTTCCAAGTGCACATGCATAGACTTTACAATCAGAGAAAACTTGTGACTTTCCAAATAGCTTGGTGTTTCTTATAAACAGTATTTATTATGGAAGAATTTGGAGGTATAACACATTAATATTAGATAGGTATGATGCTAGATGGTTCTAGCTGTGTCAGTAAAAGAACAGGACAATAAGGAAGCAGAGATAAATTCTAGTGTTCCACCTGCTTTTTCCACCTACTCAGTTTAGGACTCCAACTCATGGGACGATGCTGCCTGCATTCAAGTTAAGTCCCCTCCTTAGTTAAACTGACTTGGTTCAGATACATATACACACAAACACAGAGAGATGGAAACAGGCACAAACATACAAGGACACACACTGAGACACACACACAGAGATAGACACATACAGAGAAACAGACACACATGGAGACAGGCACACAGAGATAGACACACATATACGCAGAGACAGACAGGCACAGATAGAGATAGGCACATACACACAAGGACACAAAGAGAGACAGGCACACACAGAGAAAGACACAAAAACATAGACGACAGACAGACAGACAGACAGACAGACACACACACACACCTACAAATGCATGCAGGCACAGAGGGAGTGAATGATTAGACTGGCTTACAGGCTGTGATCCAATTAGTCAACAATGGCTGTCTCCTAATGGAAAGGCCAAGAATCCTGTACTTGTTCATTCAACTAGGATTGATGTCAGTGAGTCTTCAGTCTTATTGGAATCCTGACTGGGAAGGAACCAGGATACATGAACTTGCTATCAAGAGTGAATGCAACCAGGTCAACAACAAAATCTTCCAATTTCCATGTCCTCTTATGTGGGCTATCACTAGAGGACATGACCCAGACTTAGAGTGTGTCTTCCCCACCTCAGATGACCCAATGAAGAAAATTACCAACAAAAGAGTATGGACCCAGCCATTTAGGATTTGGTTGATTCCAGATGTAGTGAAGTTGTATACAGTGTTCTGCCCATATATATGTCTACAAGCCAGAAGAGGGCACCAGATCTCATTATAGATGGTGTGAGGCATAATGTGGTCACTTGGAATTTAACTCAGGACCTCTGGAAAAACAGCCAGTGCTCTTAACCTCTGAGCTATCAACCCAGCCCCATGACTACCTTTCATGTGAGACCAAATATCTGAAGTAAATCAACTGAACATCTCCAAGTTATTGTTTGGCTCAACAAAATAACACACATACACATATACACACAAATCAATAAATAAGAAAACAGCAGATAGAAACAGGTGACTAAGAAGGTAGAGATTTGTGGCACCTCTTCCCCATTGAGCCATAGCAACAACCCCAAGACAGAGATTTGTAGAATCAGATTATGATTCTATGAAACACTGTCACAGAGATCTCAAGTTCTTGTGATCTCTGTGGATAGAATTCAGAGGAAACAAAGTATAATGTAGAAAGACATTTTATTACTTATTACTATTATTATTACAATGTGTTTGTGTGTGGGCCCAAGAGATCAGAGCAGTGTCAGGTCCCCTTGAGCTGGACCTACTGGAGTTATGAGCCACCCAATGTGAGCACTTGAAAGCAAACTTTAGTCTTCTGCAAAAGCAGTATGTGCTCCCAAGAACTGAGCCATCTCTCTCCATCCTGGGTTTATGACAGAGTAAATGGGGCACTTTCAAGGTATATAGACAATCACCAAAGCATCCTCCTATAGGACTTAATCTCAATGGGTAAGTTGGCACAAATGCTAAGAAGCTGTGCCAACCTGTGTTCTAGCTATGCTTTATATTAGTTCTAATCTCTAGAACAGACAGCTTTTCCTATGGGATAGGATTACCCCCCCCCCCTTGCACTGGTGATTGACAGGCCCATATAGGTTAAGAGGGAACAGGGACGTACTCTTGTTCTTTACCCTATCCCTCAAGCGAGGTAGACACTAATATAGAGGCATGCCTCAGATTCCACTCTTCTGACTACGAACCACAGTCATGTAGTTTCAGTTTCCGGTCTTACATACTGCTGATTATGAAGTGGGGAAGAGTCTATCCTCATTGATCTTCAATAGTTTGAAGAAAAAAAAAATAAAGAAATGAGAAACATAACACTTAAGAAGGCCATGAGAAACAGAAGAACTATGTTAATATCTCTATTATGAATCCCGGGTAGAAAAGAATCAGAGGAAGCTACACTTCAGGAACCAACAAAGAGGCTGGAAATGCATATAAGTGTTAGGAGTACTGAATGCTCTTGCAAAGGCCAAGTGTTCAGTTCCTGCATCCACATGGCAGCTGACAACCATGTGAAACTCCAATCCCAGGGTTCTCACACCCTGTTTTGGCTTCTGTTTGTACTGAGTGCACATGACATGTGCGCAGATATACATGTAGGTAAAATACTCATGCACATAGAATATTTTTTCTACAAATTCTATAAAACTTTAAAAGTGTTTAGGACAAAGAATTAAAATCTCTCTATCTCCCCCCACATGTTAAAACCTTTATGTAAATGCTTCAATGCTCCAGAACCAGAAAAACCATTGTTTATACAAAGAACTGTTCTTTTATTCTAGAAATTTGATGGCCTGGCACAGTGACCCTTTTTGCCTTCCTCCATTTCCAAGTCTTTTCAGACTAGCCAATTGTATAAACCTGTGAGATTAGACCCCAGGCAACTGGGAAGAAACACAGCCACCACCAAAGTTAGAATAAACACCAAAGACACTTCCTATGTCTTGTGTGTTCACATTTCTAATCACACCCACTTGATCAGGAGTAAAGCTTGCCTTGCCCAGACATTTTAGTTGGAACGGTGGTCTCTTCCTTTGCTTCTCAAACTTACTTCTAATACCAGCACCCATGTGGCAGCTCCCAACTGGTTCTAACTCCAATACCAGGGGACCCAAAGCCCTCTTCTGTCCTCCTGGGACATTGCACACACACACACACACACAAGGTGCAGTCACACCTGCAGCTAAAACACCCATAAACACAAAGGAGGCAGGGGAAACAATGAATAAAACTTTCCCTAAATTAAACGACTGAAAAACGCCAGAAAATGACAACAGCAACTGAAAGGGGGAAATATTGTAGATTTAAGTGTGTAACTGGTCAAGAGAAAACCTGCGAGATCTAGAAATGAGGAACATCATCTGCAGAAGGGCAAAGACCATACAGACCGGTTTTTTGTTGTTTTGGGGTTTTGTTTTTCTTTTTTAATTGTTTTGTGTTTTTCAAGACAAGGTTTCTATGCGTGACCCTGGCTGTCCTGGAACCCAGGCTGGTCTCGAACTCACCGAGATCTGCCTACCTTTGCTTCCTGAGTGTTGGCATTAAAGACAAGCGCCACCACCGGTGGGCTCACACCGGCCGTTTTAAAATAAGCTGGCTTCAGGAATAAACGAATTTTTGAGTTGCTGAGGAAAAGGTCTTGGAACCCGCAGCCAACGCTGATTAGGGCAGCTTCACCAGCGCTTCCAAGGGAAACGTGCACACCCTGGAAAGCCGGCTCGCCCACGCCGACTTGCCCGCGGCACTTCTCCCCGGGGCTCTTTCCCGCCGCCGCCCTTCGCTCGTGAACGGACGCGCACGCGCGCGCACGCTCCCGCCCACTGCGCCTGCGCGGCGTGACGACGCCACTCGGTCCCGGAAGTAGGAGGCGTCCGGCGGAGTTTGTGTGGCGGCCGCCGCGGGAACGCGAGTGAGCGCGGTCCTGTGTCTTCCAAAGAAGACAGGCGGCTTCGCGGGGGACTCGGTGGAGTGGGAGCGAGCGTCTGCGGCCAACGCCCGGCGTGAGAGGCGGCATGGAGGACGAGCGCGGCCGGCAGCGTGGCGGCGACGCGGCTCAGCAGAAGACGCCGCGACGGGAGTGTGAGGAGCCGCGGCCGCTGAGCGCGGAGGTGAGGGCTGATCGCGCGGGGCTGCCTCGCTTCCCCGGCCCCGTCGGGGCGAGCACCACTCTGCTCGCGGGAGGAGACCGGGCGGGAAGTTCTGAGTGAGGATTTTGCGTAAACATTCGGCGCGCGCGGGCGCACTGCCGTTCCATCAGCCCCGCGGCGCTGATTGGCTGAGCTCCCTCCAGCGCTCCCCCTCCCTCGGGTGAGGGTCCTGGGCGCTTGGGGTGCTGCTTCCCAAGCCTGTGCCTGTCCAGGCCCGGACGACCTCACTGCCATCTGCATCCGTTCCCGAGGGGACCGTGCCCTCTTGCCAGCAGCCAGCCACAACCGGCTTTCTGTATTAAAAGCAAAAAAAAAAAAAGCTACTTAACTTTTAAACTTTATTTGCGTTGGTACAGAAGGTGTCAGACCCTCTGAATCCTGAGTTACAGACAGTTGTGAGCTGCCATGTGGGTGCTGGTAATTGAACCTGGGCCCCCCGGAAGAGCAGCCCAGAGCAGCCCGTGCTCTTAACCTCCGCTTTCTAAGTCATTTGGTACCCCACCGGTCCACCCTCGCGGCAGCAGCAAGGTTGTAAGGGGTTGGATCTCCAGACTTGTTTATTCATCTTGATGAGTTAGAATTGGCTAACGCTGAGGAGTGTGATGCTCAAAGCCATCGCTTTTTGACGTAGGAGTCGAACTCTAAAAATCCAGGATATTCGCGGGGCTAGAGAGGTGAGGGATCTGCCCCGCTGTGAAAGTATTAGCTCAAAACCAAAATATCAAAAAGTGCATGCTCGAAAGACTTCCTAGTGCCTTTGTTCCTTCCATTTGCACCTTCGTGTAGTAGCCAGAATAGCCTTTAGCCTTTAGAACGTTACTTTTTAATGTATATACGTGTAGAGGATGCCACGTATGTGCAGATGCCTGCAAAGACCAGAAGTAGGTTAGGTATGGGTCCTGGGGACCGAACAGCGCTCCTCTTGCAAGAGGAGAAATTGCTCGAATGATCTTTTAACAGTCTGAATGTATCTAGCTTACTCCCCTCATTCTTTGCCTTCAGTTTGCCCCTGGCTACTTTGACCTATTGGGTAGTGCACATCTTTTCTTTGCTGTCTGCTCTGGCTTCCCTGTGTTCTTCTGTAATGGAGGGTTTTCTTCCTTAAAGATCTTGTGTTCCCCTTGTCCTGACCACTCTTTTCTTCTGGATCTTACAGTTATCTTATTCTCCTTGTCAAGTTGATACTTTGGAAGGCTGAAGAAGCACAGATGCCCCTTTTGTCCTAATACATGTTGCCAATAACATCTAAGCCAATTTGCAAAGCTTCCTTACATAAAAGAAATCGAATATACTTGTCTCTCAAAGAACAGAAACTTTGAGATAGAATGCTTTGTGACCTGGATCTGTATTCAGATTGATTTTAAACCCTTACCATTAAATGTTTTTAATAAATGAGGATATGTATGTATGTATGTATGTATGTCCTTGATTTCAGCCACACAAAGTTGTTTGTTGTTTTTGAGATTTATCTAGTAAATATCCATTGACTCTAATTGCGGTGCGTGATGGAAACCAGTAGAAAGAAAGAAGAAACATTTTAATGTATGGACATTTTTGTTTTGGTGTGCAGATGCAAAAGTTTTTCTTTTGTAGTAAGTAGTGCATATTTTTGGAAACAAGATTGTGGGAACCTTTTTTATATAGAAGTAGTTACTTTATAAAAAGTCTCACTTCAGAAATAGGTTGTGTTTATTTAAAAAAAGGCTTTCAATAGAAAAAGAAGAGCAAGTTTTTTGAAGTACTCATATTTTTATTCTGGAAAATATGCAACTCATCCTTAAGTTCCACACTTTAGAGTACTAATGTAGAAGTTCATGGTAATTTCCTATAATGTAAAAGGTCTTATTTGTGGTAATATAAACCATACATATACTTAATTGGGTACATGAAGATTCCAGAATGTCAAGTTCTATAAAAATGAGTGTCTCTTTCCATGTTGTAAATTCATCTCTAGGTTTCTTCTCTGGCCAGTGATATGACATATGGTTCTATGGACTGGAGTGAATGTGTGGATGTTAGTGCTAATCTTGGGTACTAATAATTTATTATTAATATAATTTATAATTAATAAATGAATGCCTATTTTCAGATAATTTGTGCATGTGGGGCTTTGAATATTTCTGTTCCTTTGTAGGTTTATTTTAAAAATTTTTTCTTTTTTCTTTTTTTTTTTTAAGAACTTGTCATGTTGGCCTGAAATTTAGGAAAAAACAATTTTCACAAAATCAAGGATGGAATTGGTCTTGATAGCCAATAAATAAACTTGATAGCCAATAAATAAATAAATCTTTACAGGAATTACAATTTGTATGGCTGGAAGAGGTGTTTGTGTCATATGTCTAGAAGGTGTTACATGTCTAGAAGTGGTAAATTTTCAAAACTATTTAAGAATTCTTCAAGTGTATCAGGATAGATTTATTGAAAGAAGAGAATTTGTGCCCAGCATTGGTGGTGCAAGCCTTTAATCCCAGCACTTGGGAGGCAGAGGCAGGCAGAGCTCTGTGAGTTCCAGGCTAGCCTGGCCTACAGAGTTAGTTACAGGACAAGCTCCAAAGCCTCAGAGAAACCCTGTCTCGAAAAGCCAAAAAAAAAAAAAAAAAAAAAAGAAGAGAATTTGTATAAATTAACTAAGCTATCTGTTATGGTTAAAATGCTCTTTTGTAACCTGAAAAAAAAATAGAGTTTAAAATTCTTTGTAACTTTAAATATAAAGGATAAACTATCCTGATGATATGTAAGGAGAAATTTAAATATTCCTGAAAACTGATTATTTTCTTGGTTGAAGTGCAGTGGAATTAATTTACAAAGTAAGGACTTTGTGAACATTTTTGATAGGGTTATTCCCACTCATGAATGATTCAGGCATTGAAATTGCTGGCCTTTTTCTCAAAGGGGCAAGGGCAAGAGAGGGTAAGTGAGTACTCCTGACATAGCACCTAGCAGTAAACTAGCTTTAAGTTAAGACTACATTATGACCAAGTAAATAGATATTAATATGTTAATAATAAATAAACTGTTTTTGAAAGTGCTGAAAACATAGCTTATATTTGTAGCATTTCATGTAGAACATAATTAACTTTAAAAGTTACTGTATTTGTGATTTAGGTTTACCTATTGAGAAAATAGGATGGAGTCATGTGACAGAAAGGCAACACTGTAGATCTGAATAATTGATAAATGTGTGACTTGTGAGCTTTGGAATATAATGGATCAGTTTGCTTTAAGTCCTGGAACATTCAGTACATGCCTGGAAGTCTGTTTTAGGGCAACTTCTGTTAACTTTGTGAAATAAAGCCAGGCTAAAAAGTTCTAAGGAAGTTGCTGATTCATGCATGCACCACTTAAACTTGGCTTATTTCTAAGTTTCGGGACATTGTTTGTGAAAGGGCTTGTTTACAGTCTGATGGTCATAAGTAAAATTAACTTTATTAGTTGTTAGCCTGCTACGTACACAATCTCGTACTTAGAGTAAATGCTCCCTAAATACTGTTTGTCATCGCCAGAGACCATCTAGGACGAGCATATGTGTATAGATGAGGGAACTGCAGATCAGTGGCTATTTACTGCCCAAGACTATGCTGCTGTAAATGGGCAGCTGGGGCCCAGACTGTCATGGCTGTGACTCTCATTTAATCTGTCCTCTTTTTACCTAGCTTCATTACCTCTGAGGAATCTCATGACTCAGACTAGAGCAGGACCAATTATATTGGAAACACATCTTTCATCTTCCTGCCCTCCTCCACTGGTGCCAAGGGGAACCCTTCATTGAACACAAAGCATGGAGAACCCTTGGGAGTTTGACTCTTTAAAAATATATTTGTACTAATTATAAATTACCTCTCCCTTTTTTTGTAGAAAAAGCAGCGATGTAGACTTGATGGCAAAGAAACAGATGGATCTAAGTTCATTACCTCCAATGGAAGTGACTTCAGTGACCCAGTTTACAAAGAGATTGCAATGACAAATGGTTGCATTAATAGAATGAGTAAAGAGGAACTCAGAGCCAAACTTTCTGAATTTAAGCTTGAAACCAGGTAATTAAAACTAATTTCAACCCCTTACTTAAAACAGCTAATATACTTTAGCTCTTAAAAAGCAGTTACAGAAGGGGTGCTGGCCCGTTTTAGAAACTCTTAGGAATATTTAAAAAAAAATTCCTCCTACAAGATAATTCAAATCATAACCATAATTTTTAGTCTTTAAAGTGAGTCTTGCCATCTAACTTTTTATTGCTTTCCTTTAGCTGGCAAATAGGTCTCCAAATCAAAGTGTGTGAATGTTTTGGAAATTAACTGTCCATGTGCAGATGTATAGTATTGTAGCAAGTATGTTTCCTTAATTTCACTTTTGGCACAGGTCTTATGTAGTCTGAACTGCCCTTGAGCACACAGTACTGCCTCTGCCTCTGAGGTGCTGGGTTACAGGCTTGTTTCACCATACCATCTTAAATTTTTGCTTAATGGTTGCTCATTTAGTTGACATGATCAAGGATGTTTTTATTTAGATACTTATATTTTCTTATGACAGAGGTTGTCTGGAATCAGGTAGAAATCATTCACTTTGCTGTAGTTTCTAAAGTAATTGAAAGTATCCATCATATTTAACTGTATTGCGTGAGAAAGTGTAGCTTAGTGAAGCCTTCTGTCTCCTAAGAAATAGACACACGTATTTTCAGAACTATTTTCTAGCCCTTCCCCCCCACACACACACACCTTTTTTTTAAAGTTTGTTAAGTGTCATTCTGGATTTTAGCATCCAGAAATATGCACAGTCTTTGATATCAAGGGGAAAAAAAAAACCTGACTATATATAATAGTTGAAAACATTGTACCCGGGCAGTCAGGATTCTCATTCCTTCTAAGTGAACTATCTGCAGTAGTGTTGATTGGAACACTGATGTTTTTCAAAAGAGCATCAACCTGTTATACACCCCACCCCACTCCTGCCCCAGATTGTCTGTAGCATAGTTTGTAAGGAAAGTTTTGATTTTATTTTCTCTTGACCCTTACTGTTATTAAATACAACCTGTGACCTACAGAAGATTGTCTGAGAAAAAATTTTGTTGTTCCCAGGTGTGAAGATCAGTTGCTTACTCTTGGCTTGCATGGGAGCTAGAGTTCTAGATGTATGTTTATGCATTTATTCAACAAGCCTGTATTGATCTCTAATCACTACACTAGACATTGACGTTGTAAAGGTAAATACAGATATATTCTTCTGCGCAGCAACTCTCAGGCTTGTGACAATACATAAATGTCACAATTAGAGTGATCAGGGTGGCATTGGAGGTCTGAGTGTTGCAGTGTAGCTGAGGGTACAACAGTGTGTCCCAGGAATTCAGAAATAGGACATTTAAATTGTGCCAAATAGGAAAGGGAAGAAGCATAGTTCAGGCAAAAAGAAATTGAAAACAAAACAAAAACCCAGAAAACCTTGTAATTTGTATTTGTGTGTTTTTGGTCATATATTCCTGTCTTTATTGTACAATCAAACTTGAGAAATTCAAAGCACACCATATATTCAGGCTATGGCACACAGTGCGCTTCACCCACAGCTTATAGTGTAGCAGCATGGTGTAGGGTGAAGGAGTATTTGACAGTGACACTGAAAAGGTAAGTTCGGGCGAAATGAAGGAACCCTGTGCCGAAGCCTTTTTTTTTAAATCTTGTGACAGAAGGAAGCCACTGAAGATGGCTTACAGGGGAAGTTAGTGCTCAGTGTGTGAGTGAGGGGAAGCAGCGTGCCTCACTTACAGGCTGTGATCACTGGCCTCTGCCGTAGTCAGGAAACGAGGGGAAGCTGTAGGGGAGAGGATGAGGAAGAGCTGGTAAACTGGCATTGGATAAGGAGCCGGGCAGATGTCAGAGAGGAGAAGTTCAGTGTTTGTGCCACCATCAGGTTGCAAGGCCATGTTTTTAGAGAAACAATAAATAAAAGAAGAGAAAAGAAATGAATAAAAAGTAATTTAAAGTAGTCACATCTACAGGTCACTCGGGGTCTTAATATGAAAGGGTTGGAGGACTTTTCTAGGATTTGATGATGTGTAAAGAAAACCCTAAAGCACTGGACATGGTGGTGCATGCCTTTAATTCCAGTAACTGGGAGGCTGACATGGGTGGATCTCCTGAGTTCAAGGCCAGCCTGTTCCACATAGTTCCAGGACAGCCAGGACCCTGTCAAAACAGAGAACCCTGAAATAGTCTTACTTGCTCAATGGTAGTTTAGAAAGGAAAACAAAAGACCCTGCTACTTTTAAGTCTTTGGTGAGCAAGTGTGACCAGGAAGTTGAACAGCCTACTTTCAGTCAAACTAAGTATAGTCAAAGGTTGCTCTAGGATGATAGATCCTAAATTATTTCAGAAGTAGCTAAAAAACATTCAACTTTAGGGCTGTAATGCTTTCATATCCTTAAGAATTTTTTGTTTGTTTAATTGTCTAACCTATGAGTGCCAGAAGAAAGTACAGTGTGTTCAGTTTGTCTCCATTTTCTCACTCAACATTACAATTTGTCCTGCTACCTTTGGTTTTTATATCATATATTTTTTAACATGGAGGGCAGTGTTAGGAGTGTGTGCAAGGTTATGGCTTGAAATACTAGATATAGTGAAACAAGACATCTCTTGTGAAGGAAAAGTTGTCATGTTAAGCATTTTGTTTTCATTATCTCTTTGCTAACAGCTTTGAGTTTTCCTTTCCTTCCATTTGTTTTAGTTCTCATTTGTTAGTTGTGCTGTGACTGAGACTGTTTAACCCAGAGCCAGCAGTTAAGACTTGTGATTCTTGACTGAAACATTTATGTAGTCTTGTATTTTTTTAGAGGAGTCAAGGATGTCCTAAAGAAGAGATTGAAAAACTACTACAAGAAGCAGAAGTTGATGTTGAAAGAAAGCAATTGTGTGGACAGTTACTACGACTACATTTGTATTATTGACTTTGAAGCTACTTGTGAAGAGGGAAACCCAGCTGATTTCATACATGAAATCATTGAGTTTCCTGTTGTTCTGTTGAATACACACACCTTAGAAATAGTAAGTGAACTGTTGCATTTTCATCTTATTTTTCATAGCAACTATTCTGGTGTTCAGTGAGCTAGACCCTTGCCATTTTAGCTGGAAATAGAATTCCAAAAGGAGATCTTTGCATATTGTTGTAAGTTCCCTATTGGCATGATTAATAGGAAACCCATAATGAAGTGATTCCAGGAACTGCTTTTCTTCTCTATGAGCTGAACTTGTGGCACTTTTTCTGTTTCTTAGAACATCTGAGTAGATGGCAATCTCTAGGGAAGTGACAAATAAAACAGTTTCCAGCTGATTTCCTATGACTGCAACCTCATTTCTTCAAAAGACTTTTAAAACCCATTATTGTAAGGGAGCAACTTAATAGGCTTGATTTTCTTAACACAGTATAAACAAAACAATCAACATTTTACATGCCAAGACAATATTTACCACAATTTTGAAGGTTTGTTTTCAGACACCTGTTGACATGTTTTTAAAAACCAAAATAAACCTTGTCTTTACATTTAAATATCAGGGCTTTTGTTGATGCATTGACCTTGAGATCTCTGAAATGATCTGCCATGAGTAGTTGTGTAATTCTGCTGTGGCTGGCTTTATTCTGTGCGTGTCATGTAGGCTTTCCCTTGTGTTCCTCCCTGCAGGAAGACACGTTTCAGCAGTACGTGAGGCCAGAGGTTAACTCCCAGCTGTCAGATTTCTGCGTCAGTCTTACTGGAATTACTCAGGTGATAATTCTCCCTTATTTCCTGCTAGTTTTGGTGGTGGGTGTTGACTTGTCTTAAATTTGAAAGAAAATTTTAAATCAGTGATTTAGTTTATGAATAGTTTATAAAAATCGTTTTGAGCAAAGTATTGTGCTATTTTCCTTCATACTGTAATTAAAACAACAACAAAGAGATGGTTTGTGGAGATGGTTCAGCAGTTAAGAGCATTAGCTGTTCTTTCGCAGGACATAGGTTTGATTCTTAGCACGCACATAGTGGCTCACAGCTGTCTGCAACTCCAGGATCCAATGCTCTCTTCTGGCCTCCTTAGCTACTGAATGTGCACATGGTACACATGAAGGCAAAATACCCATATACATAAAATTAAAGAATTAAAAAAAAAGTTAAATAAACAAAAGGCCTTAGGGTTGGTGCAGTGGTGTGTGCTGTAGTCTCACATACTAAGGGAGTAGGGAGTGCAATTCTGAGGCTAGATTCTCTCTTGAGCACAGACATTGGAGACCAGCAAAGCCAAACGGCCAGCTACACTTGATGTCATTTGTGTTACTCCCTACTTACTCCCACCCCCACCCCCACCCCCACCCCCACCCCTGGAGTTGTAATGTTGCAATCAAGATCTCAGTTGTCAAATGGAGTTTTGGGAAGATAAGTGTCACTATGCTACACTCGCAGATAGGATTTAGAATGTGTTTGTTTAAAATCTTGACCATACTTTGGGTGGTTGATCTCTGGTTTTTGTTTATGTTTTAATGTATAAGCCTTTAATTTTTTTTCTTTTTTGACCCTTCAATGGTGTCTTCACTCTCTTTACACATAGTTCAGTGTCCACTATATATTTCAAATCTGTAAGAATCAGATCAGACAGACTAAGCCAGTAGTTACAGTTTGGCCAGGAAGAATATTTTATTAGGTGTCTATACAGGAGGCTTATATCTGTGTTGGAAGGAAGGGCTGCCCTGAGATGGGTCTTCATGTTGGTGAAGTTAAGCTGAATCATGGTAAGTAAATGGACAAAAAGAAAGGACTGGGCGTTTTTAGGCATTTAGCTCTGCTATGGCAGAACTCAGTATAGTTCCGGATGGATCAAATCTATGGGTTCTTGAGAATGTGTGTGAGCTGGGTAAATGCAAGGAAAGCAAATCATAGAGAGCTCCATGACCCTGAATGCATCATGTTGACAGTTTAGAAAGTCCAGCCTCATGGCAGAGTGGTACGATGTGCCATATAATGTGGTGTAGTAGTGTGGAGAAGCATGGGATTTGAGATAGAATTCTTAGGGGCTGTAGATTTCCCTGTTGTCTAAAGAATCAGTTAATCCCGAAGAGCCACTGGGATTGATCTTTGTTCTATTGCTGTAATAAAAACATTCAGAGCTACCTGGGAGGAAATGGTTTATTTCAGCTTACTCTTTTCCTATCACAGTCCATCACTGAGGGAAGTGGGGGCAGAAACAGAAGCAGACACTGGAGGAATTTTGTTTTGCTGCCTCACTCCCTAGCTTGCTCTCTGGCTTGTACTCAGCTGGCTTTCTTCTACAGCCAGGATCCCTAGCCACCTCCCTAGGGATGGTTCTGCCCACGTTGGTTTGAGGAAGTTCCCTGAGGCTGCTCACAAGCCACTTGATCCAGTAATCCTGTTCACTCTTCCCAGTGACCCTAGATCACCTGTGTCAGCTGACAGAACCAGGGCAATCTTAAATCTTAATTTTGGGAGAATTGTGCATATACTTAAAAGCAGTCTTTAATTTTTTTGACAGACAGTTATTTAATTATCTCCGGTGAACATTTAGGTGGTTAAGTGGATCTGAGTCATTGAAATCACAGAGTTAATAATTCATGTACTATTTGTTTCTCTCTGGTTTATGGTAGGTGTGTTGTAGGGCTACAAGCAGTAGCTGCCCTAACCTCATTCTCCTTTTATGTCTTCAGGATCAGGTAGACAGAGCAGATGCTTTCCCTCAGGTCCTGAAAAAAGTAATTGAGTGGATGAAGTCAAAAGAATTAGGAACCAAGTACAAATACTGCATATTAACAGATGGGTAAGTAGGAACATACCGTAGATCCTTTTTAACAGTAAAGAGGCTCTTACTCATTGAACGTCTAGGCATCCACAGAGTGTTACTTATTAACAGTCCTAGGAGTCACTCCACAAGAAAGAGTGTTTTTTCTTTTCACAGTCTTTTCCTAGTTTGAGTCCTCAGGATGGAGGGAAAGAGGGAAAGCCACCATCACATCAAGTCTGTGACTAGAGACCCAGGATGAGATATACTGACACGGCTTGTCTGGAGCCCTGTTCCATCATGTTTGCCTGCTCACAGAGGTCTCAGCCTGGCATGTACACACACACACACACACACACACACGGACACAAATACATGTGCATGCATGCACACACAGACACAGACGCACATGCCTATACCCACTGTTATTCAGGCTACCCGTTTGTTTGTAGGATTTGCCTTTTCTCTGTCCATCCACTTCGTGTTTTCTTCCTTCTGGGAGAGTCTCCTTCTCACCACTTTTTACTTTACCTGGCACTATAACTCACATTGTGAAAGTCTTCAGCCCTTACAGTGTCACCCATTCTGACTATCTGATGTGTGATCTTTTTCTTAGGAAGTTAGAGGTCCTTTCAGAACAAGTCCCTCTATTACCCTGTAGTCTTCCCATAACATTTCCTGTAGTGCCTTGTCCAGAGTTATCTGTTAAGTGTGGGGGCACTCCTATAATCCCCTCACTTGAGAATTGGAGGCAGGAGGATCAGGGATTCAGAGTCAGCCTACATGGTGAATCTGAGGCAAGCCTCTGCTGTATTTGAGACCCTGTCTCAAAACCTACTTGTGCCTATTTTCCAAAATGGAAAAGGAAACATAAAGAACTACATAGGAATGTCTGAAGGGTTGAAAGGATCACAGACATTGTCCCAAGGTCACTGTACCACAGTGCCATTAAAGGTAAAGAAAAAGGCCTAAAGAGGTTCTATGTCAGGATGTTGCTGACATAGAAGGCCTAGAGATCTTCATATGCAACCTTAAATTCTGGGATAGATCATTCAAAATCTGTGTGGTTTTTTTTTGTTGTGTTGTGTTGTTTTGGTTTGTTTGTTTGTTTTAATTAGAACAGTAGCAAAACAGTCATCTGTACCCCCAGAAACAATTAGGTAGCTCAGGTTTAGAGTGGCGAGGGTCCCTTGGGGCTGTTAAAGTGCACAGAAGTTATTTTATAGCAGCTGAGTTGAGGGGTTATGAAGTTTCCCTCTGGAGGGTCTAGATACTGCTGTTTTTTGACTCTGCCTACGAAAAACCACATTCACATTAGCTGATTTCCGCATTGCTCACTCAGTGCTCACCTGGTTTGATTTTGCGACAAGGTCTTACATACTCTGTATTTCTGGCTGGTCCTTGTGCTACAGTCTCTACAGTACTGGGATTAAGGACTGTGCCCTATACCCTGCAGTAAGCACAGTAGAGACATAGCAGGCCAGGTTGTATTTTAACCCCTACAGTTTGTCTCTTGTTAGTTGCTCAAGGCATACTCTGTCAAGGCATACTCTTTAAGAACTTAACTAAAATAAATGGTAAATTTGACGTAACGTGCAAGCTTTGTAGTTACACAGAACTCAGCAAGGTGGAAGTTTGGCCTGAAATCAGAACCCAAAGAACCCAAAAGCAATCAGAATGAGCCTAGCAAGAATTAGTTAGTTTGTGAAGAAAGTACTTTTTTTTTTTTTTTTTTTTTTTTTTTTTTTTCCCCCCTTTTTAAAGCCCAACAGGATTTTCTGAGAATCAAGGTTAATTTTCTAAGCTTGGCATTTTGTGTGAATATGAGAAGGTCACCATAAGAGTACAGAACAACTTTTTATAGCATTTACTTTCTACCCTTTCTCTCTATATAAGCTCCTGGGATATGAGTAAGTTCTTGAACATCCAGTGCCAGCTCAGCAGGCTCAAATACCCTCCTTTTGCTAAAAAGTGGATCAATATTCGAAAGTCATATGGGAACTTTTATAAGGTAAAACTTACTCTTTAAATTAGCTATGCCCTTGATCATTCATATATATATGTATCTGTGATTTTGTATGTATATTAAATGTTTTTTAAAGTGTGTGTGTGTATGTTTTACAAGTATTTTGCCTATGTGTGTGGGGGGGGCAGTATGCATTCCTGCTGCTTATAGAAAAGAAGATGGGGTCAGGTCTACTGGAATTAGAATTAGAGATGGTTATGAACCACCATGTGGGTGCTGGGAGCCCAACCTGGGCTCTGCAAGAGTAACAAGTGTTCTGACAGCTGAGCCATCCCTCTGTCCCCTGTAGGTTTTTTATCTTTTTGGTTTTTCCAGACAGGTTTCTCTGTAGCTTTTGGAGGCTATCTTGGAACTTGATCAGTGCACCATGCTGGCCTCAAATTCCTGTCTCTGCCTCCCTGAGTGCTAGGATTAAAGGTGTGGGCCGCTGCTGCCCTGTTCCCTGTAGTTTCTTTAAAAGGTATTTTTCACAGAAAAAAAGCTATCTAATTGTTCCTTTTTAGAATCTCAGTTTTTCTAAATTAGAGCTACACCTCCTCTCCCTGCTCTTTATTCTCATTTAATGCTTTACCTTAGTGGGCAGAGAATCATACAGGGATTGCTTGTGGACAAAATGCTGCTGGGTTTTATTTCATTTTTAGTTTTGTGTGATACTAGGCCTTGAACCCAGAACCTCTTGTCTGCTGGGCAAGCACTGTATGACTAAGCTATCTCAGCTAATTTTTAGATTTACTTTATTTTGATCAAAGTTAACATGCATAAGTAGTATAAATTTTAAAGTAATATAAGACTTACAACATGGTTCTCAACCATGTTGTATTTATATTACGATTCATAACAGTAGCGAAATTGCAGTCATAAAGCGCAATGAAATCGTTTTATGGGGGAGGAAGGGGGTGTTCACCACGACACAAGGAACTGTATTCAAGGGTCACAGCATTAGGAAGGTTGAGAACCACTGACTTAGAGAAACGTACATTTCCTATCGTGGTCCTCTTCAGAACTTGTCCTTATTCTAAAAGAAATGTTTTTTAACATTAAAAAGTTGTTTCTTCACCTTTGTACTTTTTCAATTGCATGTTTATGTTTATGCTGTATTTTGAATTTTTCCTTGTGACATGCCTTTTGGATTCCTACAGTGAAGGATGTTTCAGCTCTATTAACACCTCTATCCACAAATGTCCTTCCCACCCTCACAGTCAAGTCCTTGTTGGACACTTGTGGCCTGTGATGATGGAGACTACTCCTTGATCTCTCCCCTTCTCTTTTGTGTTAATATGTAGCATGTGCTGAGCTAGAACTCCTGCCTGCACCGGCAGAGTGCTAAGACAGCAGGCCTGTGCCACCTGCACCTCTTCCATTTGCTGCCCTGAGGGGAGGGGTTTGATGGAGACATCCCACTTAGGACTCAGTGCTCAAGGCCTCACTCTGCACACTGTCCAGTTGTGGGCTTAATTCCCATCTACTGCTATACTAGGCTTTTCTGATGGTGGCCGAGCGAGGCACGAGAAGCACTGATAGTATTGCTCTTCCCTGGCTGATGCCGTTGTTCTGGCCGACACCTGGGTAAGAGGATCCAGAGGTCTGACTTGTCTTCCTCCCAGACCATGGAGAGTTGCTTCAGTCTTAGCCTGCCTCCCTGTTCCACAGTGTGGGCACACCTCCCTAACATCACCCATTTTTAATTTGTTCTCCACTGGTCAATACCTCAAAGTTACCAGTGGGCATTGGACATCCAGCTGTCTAGCAGGAGGGCACGCTGGCCCATCCACAGAATGTTTTCTTTCATCTGCAGTTATGATGGTTTAGCTGGGTGTGGTGGTCTGCTGATGCCAGTGGCCTTTCAGTACTTACACTTGTGCTTGTCTCCATTGAGAAGTCAGGTGTTATTCTAGTGGTCCACCTGTATATGTGCCTTGGTCTTTTTAATATTCTGTCTTTGTTCTGTATGTGGAAATGTTTTGATTATTAAAGTGTCATGGGGAGTTTCTTTCCTGGGCCTTCATATTTGGTGATCTGTGTGCCCCTTGAGTCCTTTTTTTTAGATTTGGGGATTTTTCTTTTATGACTTTGTTAAAAATGCTTTCTGTGCCTTTGACCCTGGTTTCTCCTTCCTTTGTACCTATTGTTTATAGGTTTGGTCTTTCCATAGTTTCCCATCCCAGATTTCCTGGATGCCTTGTGCCTGGATTTTTTGTTTGTTTGTGTGTGTGTGTGTTTTGGTTTGGTTTTGGTAGGTTGTTTTTTTGTTGTTGTTTTTTTTTTTTTTTTTTTTTCTTTTATTGTGTCTTTCTGACTGGAAATTCTCTCTTCTATCTCAGTTTTCCTCTGAGTTTTTTTATTTTGACTTTCTAAGATTTGCATTTTGAGGTGTTTTTTGTTTTTCTTTTGGTCTTTTAGAGTCGGGATCTTACTATGTAGCTCTGGCTGTCCAGGAACTCACTATGTTAGACCAGGCTGACCTCAATCTCATAAAGATAGAGCTGCCTGCCTCCACCTCCTAGGTGTTGGGACTAAAGACATGTTCCACCACACCTGGCTGTTGGACTTCAATGATTCTGTTTCTCTTTTGGATTCTATTTTCATGTCTTAAGTTGTTTTTATTATTTCATTCAATTGTTTGTGTTTTCCTGGTCTTCATTCGTATCTTTGTTAAGTTTTGAGAATAATCATAATTGCTACCTTGAAATTTTTGCCTTGTACCTTTGTTTTTCTCTGGGAGAAGTAGAGTGCTGGTTGTTTTGTTTCTTATTTTTTAATTTAGCTGTTCAGAGTACTAAAATACTTATGAAGCTATTTATTTTACAGGTTCCTAGAAGCCAAACCAAACTGACAATAATGCTGGAAAAATTAGGAATGGATTATGATGGACGGCCTCACAGTGGTCTTGATGACTCTAAAAATATTGCTAGGATAGCAGTTCGGATGCTTCAGGATGGATGCGAACTTCGAATCAATGAAAAAATGCACGGAGGACAGTTGATGAGTGTGTCATCTTCCTTACCAGTAGAGGGCGCTCCAGTTCCACAAATGCCACACAGTAGGAAGTAGCTGCATTTTTGTCTGGATCAGTTGCTACAAAGAGGTAGCAGATGAATGCATCTGAGCTAGTCAACCATCAAGCAACTTAAACAGTTAAAATCTTACTACAATTACAGATAGATGGGTATGTATGCAAACATTTTGTGGGAGGACACGCTGAGTTCCTTGTCACCAGCACTTTTGATATGGGCAGTATTTGTTACACAGTAGCCATCATCCCTGCTTAGAATTGAGTTTTATATTAATGTGTCCAAGATGTGTCCCTTTGGTTTTAAAATGGGAAGTTTTATTGGTCCACTCCCTGAACATCGTGTCTTACGGATGTTGAAATTTGACATGAGTGTCTACCTTAACACCATTAAATATGTTTTTAGAAGTGTGGGAAGGAATGAAAAGCAGTGTTTGTGTCCCCTTGATTTCATGTGCTACGTAGTCCTTTTAATTTTTGAAATTTGCAGGCAAAATTCAACTGCATCCCTCCTCTTGGGTATCATTTGAGGGGTTTACTCCAGGGATGCCACATGGGTACCTGGTTCTACAGGTGTTCACATTCTATTTCAAGTAGCATGATGTTTGTATATAACCTACACATATTCTTCCCTATATTTTAATAATTTCTAGATAGCTTATATATAATAAAAATATAAGGAAATGGTTGTATCGTTTAGAGAGTAATGACAAGAATAAGTCTACAAGTTAGTGCAGACACAACCATAGTAGGCCTCACCAGCTAGAAACAAATCAAGTGTCTGAGGTGGCAACAGCACTTGTCTGTGCACCACACCTTCTGGTCCATTCCGCTTCGAGCTTGCTGGGCAGCACCCTCAGGTATTGCTCTCTGGAACTGCATGTATTCCGGACAGGTAGTTGCTTCTAAAGGCGTCTACCACCAACCTTGACAACCTGAGTTTGATCCCCAGGGTCCACATGGTGGACTGAGAATAAACGGATAGGCTGTCCTCTGGCCCTCTACTTGCACACTGTTGGAATTGAGCCCACACATAGACACACATGTGATAAAGTACTGGAACACATCTGCCACTTTCATTTTGTAACTGAAAACCATGTGAAAATTAGAGTCTGGTTAAAAATCCAGTTACTGAGATTAATGAGAACGTACAAGATCCAGCCTGGTGGCATACACATGTAATTCCAATACTCAGGAGTTAAGGCAGGGGTAAATCTGAGACTACCCTGAATCACCTAATAGAACCTAACTCAAAAATACAAGTAAAAAATACAAGGGAAATTATGAGCTATAACATCCAAACCAATGGGAGCATTTAGACATCTGTTCATTAGTGTCTCTCTCCATTGTAAATGTATGTTGTCCCACTTTGAGATTGACTTATAGCTCATGATGAACATTGACATATGTGTTTAGTACTGTGGGGTTAAATGTTTTGTGCCATAGTTAGTAAAAGTACCCGTTGTGTCTTAATGACCAGTATATATTGGAAAATAATTCCCATTTCTAAAATCAAATTTTGCTTTGGAGATAATGATGTAAAACTATCTGAAGGTTGAAAGTGAACTTTTAGAATTAAACCCTTCTCAAGCTTTTTTCATGGACCAATTTCACTGACATTGTTGTTTTGTTTTTAACCTTTAATAGTAACTGTGATGCCACGTTATTTCTGTAGTTGATACAATCGGGTAGATTTTGTCATGTTTTTGAAACAGTAGATGTGCTTGGTGGCATGAGAATCCGCTATACAGGCTTGTGGATTCATTGAGCCAGTGAGCTTCTGTCTGGAAGGAGAGGAATGGAAAATAGCACGTCATTGTGAGTGACAGGTGCAGGCCCGCTAGGCTTACTCTTCCTTCAGGTGATTTTTCCCACGTAAGCTGTGTTGACACAGGACAGGTCCATGCTCCAGAAAAATAATTGCTTGTCACCTGGTTGCATAGTTGCTACTGAATAGCTGAAACTACAGTTGGAACATTGGGGAATAGCAGGAAATATTAATGCCTTCCTGGGTTTTTTTTTTTTAATTTTTGTTTTTTAAATCAGGATGCTTAAATTTCTTCCTGACAAGTAGTCACATACTTAATCTCTTTTAAAAGTTTGAACAATACAAGTTTTTATAATTCTTTTGGCTTTGCTGGGTGTTTTGTCGTCTTTACTCACATTTGAGTCTCCTTCAACCCCCTCTGATTTTATTTTTCTTCTGTTGTGATGGTTTCTCTTTAAGGTGTAGACTAGGTAGTTCTTGGGAGGAAAATGCTGAAGAGTGACTGCTGTTGTATGTAAAGGTATTTGTACTATTTGATTCTTGTTACTGCTATAACATGTTATGCTGATATTAATATTTATTAATAGTTACATAAAACCTTTTCTTTCTCTTAGTCATCAGTAGCCATATCACTTTCCTCTTACTTGCTTAGAGAGTTTTTTGTTTATTTGTTTTGTTATGTTTTTTCCTGTTATTTCCAAATCCACACCAGTTGTTATATATATTTAGCTATATTTTGTCTGATTTTTGTCTTTAATATTTGTATTAAATACTGACACACTAACTCTAAAAATACTTACGTTCTCCCACTTTTCCCTCCTTTGATTGCATCACACACACAACATGAAGTGTTGTTTTAAACATTTGTTTTTATGTGTGCCTCTGCCTGTGTGAGCACACCATGTGCCCATAGATTCCTGTGGAGGCCTGAGGGCCTCAGATGCCGCTTTGGAGCTGGAATTACAGGTGGTTGTGAGCCACCTGATGTGGGTGCTGGGAACCTGAATCTGTGCTTCCCCAGGCCCCCAAAAAATGTTTATCTGACTTTTTTCCCCCTTTAAGGACCTGCTTGTCCTGCTGTACAGATAGATTTCATCAGCTGATTTAGCATGAAAGACCATGGGAGTCACTAACATGCTAACATAGTACTTAGTAAAGGGAGACCCTGTCACTTTGCTGTCGTTTATTTACATGGTAATTTCTTGAAAGATGAAACAGTATTTATTCCTTCCTGAATATTACCTTACAAGATACTAATGTGAAGGACTGATTTGAAGAGCAAGGTGGGTATTAAGATTTCTAGGGAAGGAGAGATCATGAATGATCAGGACAACAGGCAGCACCAGAGAGGTCACCTGCCCACAGTGTGCTGTACCTTTCTATTGTCAATTACCAACCAAGGAAAGCTTCTGGTAGCACCACCCACAGGGGGCTCCACCCTCCTAATGTCAGTTACCAATCAAGTAAATGCCTTAAGTAGCAACGTCCACAGTGGACTGCACTCTCCTTGGCAATTACCAACCAAGGGGAAAGTTTCTGATGTGTCCCAGGCCTGTCTGATTCAGGCGTTTTCCCCATTGAGACATCCTCAAGTAGCTGTCAGCTGTGTCAAACTGAAGCGAAGTGTTGCTTTGCAGGTCTATGGCAGAAGCCCTCATTTTTCACTAGATGAAAGTCAAGGCTGGCATTTAGACCCTCCCGTCTGGGTCTCTTACAGTTTCTAGTTTGATGGTGGCTGTCTAACCCAGGCTAGTCACTTGACAGTCCTTACTTTTGTCCCCAGAAAGTAGTCCACCAAACTTGGTCTCTTGCTTCTGGTCTTTAAGGACTAACTTTGATTCCAGCCTACCCTGACTTGAATGGTGTCTTTGGATGTATTTTCTGTGCTCCCCAGGGCCTTGATTACTGCTGTGGAGGTTGACAGTCACGTCTTCATAGATTTTTACCTATTGTGTCCTCAAACATGCACTGTAGAATTGAAAATAGGTGTGGTGAAATGTATCCTTTAAGGTCTGTACCTCTCCCTGAACTGGAGAAGGCGGCTTAAATCCTGACTTGTGAAGAAAGCCTGGCTGCCTGGATAGAGTTACCATTGGAGCTTTCCATTTTCTTGTTTCTATGAGCCCTGAATCTCAGGCTCAGACATAGGCAATAATCCCTATCAATCCTCAGCCCTCCCTCTAGGTGCCAGAAAAGGCCAACAAATGCAGGAGTCATTCCTATTCTGTCTCTGCATTGCTAATTTCAAACACTCTTCAAGTATCTTTGACCTTGAAGAGGTTGTTCATTGCTTCCCTTCATTTTGGAGCAATAACTCTTAATACTCTTTTTTAAAGGTTTAGAAGGAAACTTATTCTGTTGCACATTTTTTGGTTTTTGAGTCCTGGCTGGCCTGGAACTTGGTGTATTTATTACACTGGCCTTAAAGTCTCTGGAGACCCACCTGCCTCTGTCACTTGAGTGATGGGGTTAAAGGTGTGAGTCACCATACCTGGCCCCCTTGCACAATTAAGGCACATTAAATTTCCCAGGTTTGATGTCAGTACAGTAGGATATTCAGCTTAGAATAAACATTCATGTGTTAAAAATAGGTACCATTCTTTATGTCTGATGGATTCTAAATGCCATAGAAATTAATTCCATTATCCATATTGAAAATGCATAGAGAGGGGCTAGAAAAATGACTCCATGGTTAAGAGTACATACTGCCCTTGCAGAAAACCTGTGTCCAGTTATTACCAGTCATGAGGGGTGGCCCACAGCCGCCTGTAACTCCAACTCGAGGGATCTGACGCCCTTTTCTTGCCTTCATGGGCAACTGTATTCACATGCACAGATATACACACATTTTTTTTTAAAAAAAACAACCCAAAAGATGAATAAAGATTTTTATAGTATATGTTTTTCTTTCTTGAATAGTTATTTCAGCTACACCATCAAGATTTTCTGATGGGAGATGTCATTCTGTAAAAAATGTTTCTTGTATTTGTTAATGAATAAATCACTGTTGGCCAATAGGAAAGCAAGATAGGTGGGGCTAGGAAACAAGGAGGATTCAGAGAGAGGTAGGAGGAGATTCAACTTGTTGAGAGCAGAGGTCCGGGCCCTCTCTTTGGTAAGATAAAACCACATGGAGATACTTAGATTGATAGAAATGGGTTAATATTTAAGACAGAACTAGCCAATAAGAAACGCTAGTAACTGGCCAACAGCATTATATCAAATACAGAGTCTCTGTGTCTTATTTGGGGCTGGCGCTCAGTGAGACCAGGCTGGTGGGAAAACTACTTGTAACGATTTTCTAATAAAGTAAAGCCAATAAAAATGTCTTGTTAGACTTAAAAGTCTGATGAAAGTGTAGGGTTATATTGGTGCAAATGAAAGGAAACTTTTTCATTATACTGTCATACATAAGGTGAGACATAAAATGGACCATTGATCCCACTTGGGAAGTCCCCACTGTAGTTAGTTCACTACCTCGTTCACTCCTGTGTTTAAGAATGGTGGCTAGGCTGGAGAGCAGGGCCCATTCCTGTTGAACCAATAGATCTCATCCTTGTATTTTATTGCACACTTCTGTCTTGAAAGCTGTAGAATTGTTCAAAATATTTGTTTTTAAAGAAATGTAAACTGTGGAGTACTCCTTGGGTACAGTGTTC